AGGTTTTACTGTATACAGCAGAAACGTGTAAAAACATTTTCCCGAATTTTATACTGTTTCCGATTTTTACGAAAATAAAGTTTCCTCTCAGGATTTGACACTACTAGATATTTTCTTTGAGGTTGTTTAAAGGAAAAAGTGTATTATTAAAAATTAATAATAATAAATAGAGAACAACTTGTAGAAAGAATTCATACTGTTGCAGCATAAGTATTATTAGACAACGTTCATTATTCAGTTGGTCGGCATGCTGAGTTGTACTTGCATGAGAGAGAACATCATTTTGAACATCTGCTCCATTAATTAATTATCAAACATTGACAGGAAGCTCGGTTTAATAGATTACTTTCTTTCTTGTTAACACAGATCATGTATCTGCTTATTGTTCAATTATTAATATAATTGAAATAATCATATAACTTTTAAAGCGCTGTTTTTGCTAAATCATATCAAATACATGAAAACTTTCTGTATATTATTTACTCTACACAAACTCCTCTATTATTTCCTGATGGTATATCTTACCATTTGAAATACCCTGTTTTATAATTTTAAATGTTATGTTTATATATATTCGTGTTGTGTTTTAATTGAGAAATTCTTCGTTTTCTAAATAATTATGACAAAATCGGGCATACAGTATATTCAGATAATAGGTTAGTTAAATTCATGTATTTAAAATTAAAATGAAGTATTCATTGTTACTTTAAATTGTAAATAATTGTTTTAATTAATATTTATATTCTTTTAATGTCATTTAGCGATGATTAATTAAGTAAATTTAGTTATTTATTATGAATGATTGTAAAATTCATTATTTGTAAACGATTTTGGTTTGTAATTTTACGATGATTATATTATATTCTTATTATATTCGCTGGGATTATTTTTATATCGATATATTAACTTATTTTTTGAGGTGAGAGAACATTTCTCAACTCTTATCCTTTACCACGGATAAGAGAAGAGAAACGAAGCCTCGAACTGTACGATCGAATTAAAAATTGAAAATCTCGATGGATCCTTCATGAAGATAAGGGGGAGGAAGTCTTATCATAGCCATCCAGGTCGAATTCACTAGAAATGCGAAAGAAAAAGTAAAAAGTTGTTATAATACTATTCTTGACTTCTGTTCTTATTTCAATATTTTAAGTCGTTTGGTTGGTTGATGAAATAAAGCAACACAACGCTCGAGCGATCTGCCAAGGCAAGGGATGCCTCCCGAAGGGATTTTCTATGGAAAACTGGACCCTTATTTGTTAGAAACGTGAAGAAAATCCGGAAAACTCCACTTGGTCAGTCCGTTGGTGAAACACGAACTTCAGTACTTTTATTCACTTGACCGCTGATGAGTGCCAATATTTAAACTATTCTAAAGTCTTTCTTTCCTGTTCTTTTTTAAAATTCAAATATATTTGGTTTCTAAAAACAGAATCAGACGAAATTCATTTTGACAAACGGAACAGAAGAGACTTGCAGCTTAAGATGATCGAAATGTAAGCATTGTTCGATCTAGTAAAATCTTAAAACCCTGTTTATTCTTTATTAATAATTTGTATATTATAAAAATTAAATTAAATATAAAATTTTCCAAAATTTACTGCTCGGAGATAAAATTCAATAGGACAAAAACCAAATATTTTAAAATATAATTACACCACCATAGTATCATTTATTAGTAATTAGTGATGAATACGAACAATGGAATAACGTTTTAAAATAACAATTGCATGAGAAACCGGAAAAAACTTGTTTTTTCAATGTTTAAAAACTTAATCATTTTAAATTATATAATAAAATAGACAATAATATAAAAAGTACTTTTATAAATTGAGCATTTTATATCGAGATTGATTAGTTTTATAGTCCAACTTTATTCATTAAAAAATCTATTTTAAAAGGAATAATTTATTTTAAAATATTATTATTACAATTTAAAATAATTTAATTAAAATTTTAAACTTTAATAGTATTTTCAATAATGAACGAATTTACATAAAGTCATACATGAATTTTTTCTTCACTATATAGAGATAAGAGGACGTGTAAAAACGCATTACAGTAATGTTCAATTATACATCTGGTCTTAAATTAACACTTAAAAAGTTGCAATTTGAAGCTCTTTCGGTATCGTTTTTATCCCTAACATTATTGATCAAAAAACAGAAGATGGGAAAGAGAATGGAAAGTTTTTATTAAGATGTTCCGTTCGTAGGCCACGTTATGTGACCCTCAATTCATAAACGTCGCGATAAAATGTGACATCTGTAAGTAGTATAATTACGATTTATGATATAAATCGAGCCCATAACAAACAAGTAGCAACGCAAAAATTCTTAGAAATGTTTTTCAAAGAATTATGTTTTGCAATTTTACTTTCTCTTCATACGTTTCTTTGATAATTTTAAATGTCCTCTCATCAGATGAAGAAAAAATAATTTCAATAAAACTTTTTAAAATAATATAATATCGAAACGTAATCTTATAATAGTAATAAAATCAAAAACATTCTTACTTTTTATAAATATTATAGTTTGTAATTAAATCTTTTAAATTATTTACATCAATATTGAAATATCCTATATAAAAATTAAATAAATGTAAACAGTACAATAAATAAGATTAAGCTGAAAACAATAAACTGGCTAACTTTCACGAAGTTAAGAGATTAATTTTTATTGCTAATTTAATGTTCAGACAAATTACTCCTGAAAAAGTTAAAATTGTTCATACCACCGCCATTAACTTTCTTTTATATGTATGATTTATGTAATTAAATTACAAAAATTAGTTTTAAAGTTTTTTTTAATAATATAAAATAGCAAAAAATAAGTTATTTACTTACATTTTTATCAAATTAAAAAAAATTTCTGGATTAATGAATTAATTATTCAATACATTAAATGTTTTCTATTTATTATACGCATAATTCTTATTTTGAAAATAAATACTTTTAAATAGATACAGTGTAATGAAATATTCAGTTAACATTAAAATTAATTTTTGGCATTTCTTCTTACTTAAGGTAAGAAGAAGACGAAGCAAATTACAGCAATTACAATGATGATAATGGAGAGGAAAATAACTGTTTAGATTTGTTTAGAGAATGATCCACATCTCTAATTCACAAGTGCAGACAATTTTCCAAGTAAATCTAAATACCGTTTGCATTGTAAACGATGATTCATAATCTACTTCAATTACAGTATAATGCAGAATGACATTATCAAAAATTAGTAAATATTAAATAGATATATATTCATAGTCTAATAAAAAACAAAAAATACTTGCCTAACCTTCAAATGTGTTTTATTCACGTCAAAGCTCAACATTTATAATAATTATATTGCGGGGAACCAAAGCTAAATGTCTGGAGGCCAATCTTTATTTAATCTTTTATAAGTATTAATTTTTTCTCTATTAATAAATAGAACACAATGCGCAAGATTGTACCATTTAAATTTATTAGTAGTTATAGTACATTATTAACTACATGTATAAATAAATATTCTATTAAAACAATTTTTTAATATACTTATCACTATATCTTTTAATCTTCGAAAAAAATATTACTTGACAATTAAAAGCTAAACTAATTTTATAATTAGTATACAACCAGTAACAATTCACATAATTAAATGTAAATATTTTAATCATATTTTTTAATGTAATTTTTCATTGTTAAAGATTTATTTATTTGTATTGCACTAATTTTTTCTAACAGGTTACAAATCTTGATTGAACTGAAGATAATTGGTATATAAACAATAATTAATTTGCATTTTAGCAGGGCGTAATTTATAGTGTAGTCTGCCTTATTTTTTATTCTTCTTTTTAACATCAATCTATTCTTGTTATTAAACTTATCTATTTTAGTTTAATTTAATGTCGATAATTATCGATAAAGTAATAATTCATTTAAAATAGAGTAGTTCTAATATGTTTTTATTTTTTAATATTCTCCGTTAATCGTAGTTCTATGAACGAATTATATAATAACCTTAAAACTATATAATGTATGTTTAATATAAAATTATATGCTTTTCTATGATTTAATTCCATACTTAATTTGTTTTATATATAATTTAATCTGATAATTTTTATTTTTATAAAACTTATCCATACCTTCAAAATCAATAATTTTGCCATTTTATAACAATTAAAATATAAAAAGATTTTAATAATAAAATATCATAACAGATGGCGTCACACTTGCAGTTTTAAATGTTGCCGGAAAAGTTAAGCAACTCGTTGCTGGATTTTTTAGAAAGAAATGAATTTGGAGTATTTTTGTTCGACCAATTAGTTCATATGCTGTATGAGACGTTCTTAATCCGTGATATGGATAGGATTAAGGGAAAGAAGCTTAGTTTGTATAAGAGATAAATAACTATTTGTTTACCGGTTTACCTTTTTAATATTAAGAAATTTTGTTTATGCTTCTAACACAATAAAGTGCTATAAATTAAGACACTTGGCGGATTTTCTCATCTTTATTTAGTTGATACGTGTGAAAAATTACACGTTTCAAATTAAAAGAAAAAAATTAAAAGAATTAAAAGAAATTAAAAGACCATATTTAGACTAAGAAAATTCAAAGAAAGTATAGAAATAATCAAAAATCAAAATAGTATAAATAAAAATCCTAGCATCTCATTAAACGAAAACTGGTTAAAAATTTTATATTAATTGTATTCACTAGATTCAAACTATTATTATTGTGATCAATGTGCTAATTAATAATTATTGAACTGTTAAATAAATCAACAATAACAAAAAACTGTAATGTTGTAATGGGAGTCAAATAATATGTAAATTTATATTAAATGTTAATCCTGTTTACCAACCTCAAGACATTGTAATGTCATTAGTTCATATAATAATCTATAATATTAAATACTGTAATGTTAAATAAATCAACAATCATATATTGTAAAAATATAGTAGATGTCAGATATGTAAATTTATATTGTAGAAGTTTTGTAAATTCGTATTATATTGTCAATGCGTATCAAAGGAAATAAGGATTTAGTAAAACAAATTTATGAGTGGAAAGCATAATCAATTGTATACCAATTTGATAATTGTTGTCCAAGGTATGTTTTAGATCAAGGATTTTGTAGAACTGTTTTATAAGTGAAAGGTATAATCAATTGTGTACAACCTTAATAACAGCCGTACTCAAGGTATGCCTTAATTGAAGATAGTTTTATAGATTCTATAAAACTTATGTATAGTTTTGTATAGACATGTTGTATACTCCCCTAATATTATAGTTGGCTGAAGGAAAAAATACTGTGAATAAGCTGATGTTACTGAGAAAATATCGAGAGTAAGCTGTTACTTCAATTTATAAGACTTATATGGATAGGTATGTTTTATATTTTTAAGAATTCTACAAAACTTGTGTATTCTTTTTTGTGTGTATGTTATATCCTTTTTAAATGTTTTAGTTGGCTGAAGAGGGGCTTAAGAGCCCGAAACGTGTAATTTTTCACACGTATCAACTAAATAAAGATAAGAAAATCCGCCAAGTGTCTTAATTTATAGCACTTTATTGTGTTAGAAGCATAAACAAATTGCAAAGCACGGTTTCATATCATCAAAAAAAGAAATTTTGTGTTCGGATGAAATTGAATAATAATCTAATAATATGAATACGTGTGTGTATGATTTTTAACTGATTATTCTGATAATTGATATAAATGTAAAGATAAATTATCGAAGATACATATATTCTGCTTGAATTTATGTAAATGTGGTCATGAGTTACAACTGTGTTGTAATTTTGTTTATGTATGAAAATATTATGTATAACCTCTATAACAAGAGAAGTTGCTGTACCAGAAGAATGCTGTACCATTATACAGTATAGCATGTAAGGATTTTATGTTATTGTCAACCCGCGTTTATGTTAAATCCTACTTACCAATGTCGTGAAACTCGCCTTGTTTTTTGTAATTTTAACAGCACTGAAGAGGGGTTGGAAATACAAGCCAACCCGAAATGCATCTGAATTTTAAAAAAGTGTTCTTTTAAATCGTAACTTTTTTCTAACTAATTGCTGTTTGATCATCTACCAAAATTATCGTTTGGATTACAAAGGCGCTACACACAGAATTTGAAGATATAGCAACCACGTCTTCTACATTATTTAAATTAAGAATATAGTCGCTGAGAAATAGTTGGTAATTCAGGATATTTATGTTTTTTTTTTTTTTTTCCTTTCTTCAAATTGCTTCCGGCAAAATTTTGGAACCAAAGATACGAAACCAAAGATGTATTGTAAAATTGTCCAAGACTTAATTTTTTAAATTTTAAAAACTATAGGGTATTTAAAAAGTTTAATATGAAAAGGTTTTGTGCATCACACAAAATATTTTGTTATATCATTTGCCTTTGATTCAAAAACCTATCGTCAGCTTCGACCATCCAACAAATTGGTTTATCGACTTTATTGGGTGAGTACATAAAAAACCCTACATGCTCTAGGCATGTCCCAAAAGTGAGGCACAAACTTTCATAATAACTTAATAACAAATTACATTAAAAAATTAAATTAACCATTTGAAAGTACACTGTCTAAGCTACTTTTATACATAGTAGCTATTTTTTTCTAAACACTTTTTCCAGCGGGAGACAAGGGCAAAAACTTCTTTTTGAAAAATTTTCCATTTAATGATTTGAATGACTCCACGACATCATCTTTATCATCATCTAAGAAGCGTAAGCAATCAAGATATTTAAGAGGTCCAAAAGGTAATAAGCAAAGAGTGCTAAGTTTGGACTATGAGCAGCATAGTTCATTATTTCCAATCCATGCTTTTTTAGACAGTTTGAAGTCTGATGTGCAATATGGGGCGTTGCATTACCATGCATCCTGAAAAGTGTTTAGAAAAGAATGGCGACTATATACTTTTGTATTATTATTATTATATGGAATTTTGAGTGCCATATAATAATGCCAAAATGTTTTTATTACGTTTTATTAAAGTATATTTATATTATACAGTGGTATCTGTACTCCGAATTTAATTCGTCACAGGAGGCCGTTCGGACTCTGAATTATTCGAAGTACGAATCAATTTTCCCCATTAGAAATAATGAAAAGTGAATTAGTTCGTTCCCAAATCCTAAATAATACCCATTTCGATATACTTAAACAGCAAATACTGTACACATAATTTAAGGTATAAAAATAGCATAATTAAATTCCCTAAGTAATAAAATATGAAAGCACTAAATAAAATACGTATACTAATACTGTGTAGTAGAATGAATATACTATGCTTTAGTGGGAAGTGATGTCTCGTTTCTTAATGTCACTGTGTGCAAATTTTTGAGAAAGCCAAGCAAATTTGCTTGGCTTTCTCAAAAATAATCCTTTCTGATATCATCAGCAAATTGTTTCTCATTTATCTTCATACTAGAAAGAGTTTTTCCATCTCCTCAATAGCATGCAATCTCCTGGAGGTCAACGATGTCAAATCTTTAGACTCATTTGCTGCTTTTATTGCTCCCTTATTCTTGAGAATGGTGCACAACGTCGACTTCGGCATCTTAAACACGGCTGCCGGATCTACTACACGTGTGCTGCTTTCATGCTTCGAGATAAGTTCCTTTTTTACCTCAATCATCGATACAACAACCTTCCTTTGAGGTTTTGTTGCTTAGAATTTTCTCGCTGCGCATGTAGTTCGAACGTACAAGCATCGTTTGAATTCTAGATCGAATTTCTCTCGAATTTAGAGTCGTTCAAAGTACGAGCTACCACTGTAGCTCGTACTTTGAACGACTCTAACTTCGTTATACTAGACTAGAGGACAACCCGAGGAATAAAGAGGACAACCCGAGGAATAAAGCGAGGAATATACTAGAGGACAACCCGAGGAATAAAGCATTAAATAGAAAAAGTTAATTTAGAATTAAAAATTGAAATTTAATGTCTGTCAAAAGTTATTTGTAGTCTAGATTACGTGAAATGCAGTTACATTCCCTATACCAACTACAAAAATGAATTATAAAATTTCTTTGTATACCATATATAAGGTGGTAATTCCAATAGAACCCAACTTTTTCTGGCCAAGTTCTACGACTAATTCAGTGAACCTGACACTGAATTTTTACAATATTCCAATGCAAGAAATTTCTTATCGACTTCCTACGATAATTGATTAGGAAATTTCATAAATTTTGGAATCCAATATATCACGAACGGATCATCAGATCTGTTCGTTTTCAGATCTGATTCGTATAAAAAAACTCATATATAAAAAGAAAGAAAGGAAGTGAGAGATTATTTATATAATTAATTTATTATTTTTATTGCATTATTTTTCCGTGTTCGATGTATAATTACCGTATTACAAGTTTTTCCTTCTAAACTATTCGTAACAAGTTAACGATTTTAGAAATATTTTAAATTGTATGTCAAGTAATGAAACTGAAATTATATAGCATAACATACAAAATATTTTTCTTAGAAGAAAAAATTTCTCTTAATATACGTGCATAATTTTATTATTACTGTAATTAATATTTCATTCGCTAACATTTGTTTTAATACATCTCGCTGCTTTTTAAGAAAATTGTAAATTAAAAAAAAATATATGGGTTACTTAAAATTTTAACTTTTTTTACTACCAACGACTTTAACGCTACTACTAATAACTATTTCTTTCTTCTTTTTCCTAGAACGAATACTCTATTAATGAGCTAAAATACTTTCCATTGACATACTGTATCTGTTCCCGGCAAGTATAACATATATTCAACGATCTGTATCATTATTTTATATTCCAAGTTATTGTTTTGAAAATAAATAAACGTATCGATCTAACGATGTTCAGTTATAACTTCTTTTAAAGGGCCACTCGTTTACTTCTTCATACGTAACATTTATTCAGTAAAGTGAATTAAAAATAGTTTTCTGTCATTTATATCAAATATAGTTTTTGAGATAGGATATAGTTCATAATATCTTATGACATTATTGAATCTAGAAAAAAATTTCTGAATTAAAATTTCTTCATTTTAAAAAATAATAAAGTAAAAAAGTTTTACGAAAATTTCCTATTTGTCAAAAACAGGACAAATACCTGTCTGGAAGGCATTCACGAGGACACGGAACATAATGCTCTAAAACGGGACATTTGGTCATAATTTTTATAAATATCTTACAATAAACTGTATTTTACCTATTTAGAAATTTTCAATATACACTTTTTACATTATAGAATCTTTTACTTTCATAGAATCATGCGATTATTTAGAGTAATACCTTACTACAATCGTTGATGTCTCTAAAAATATCAGCAATAATAACAGGGTTATACAGTAATTACTTTAGAATTATCAATATTTCTACAGATTAGTGATATCATATACTGTATTCATGTGATAATTATTTTCAGCACTTGCCCATCTACAATGTTTAAGATCATCATCATCCAGTTCATTCAATTATTTATCAAATTTCATCGTTGACAGCCGAGTGACGAAATTTATATTTTTCTTCACATTGAAATATGAAAATACAAGAATATAAATTAATACTGTACTAGTACTTTTATTCATCTTTTATTCAAATCAAATTATGAATTTTAAATAATTCTTTTCAAAATATTTATTAATTTACTATAATTAATTTTGTTTAATTTCAATTAAGAAAATAATTTCTTCTCTTCAATTAATAAACATATAAAAATGTTCTTTTCCTCCTAAAAAAATTGTTTTTTTATTTTTATTCACTTTATTTTGAATTTAGGCTAAGGAAAACTATTTTAAGCATTATTTATCACAGAAAAAACATTTCTATATTTATTTATTCGATATATACATATTATAAACTAATATTAGGTAAAAAATTTAATCCAAAAGAAATATTTAAAGCATAATTTAAACCATTTAAAAATGATTTATTTTTTTTTTACATTAAATTATTCTAAAATAAAAAATTAGTAGCAGTAAAAGCGATTTGAGATAAATATCTTTACAGTATACAACAATAATTATAAACGAGAGGAAATCGAGAAGTATTNACATTAAAGTACAACAAAAGGATAAAAATCCTACTGAGATAAATATCTTTACAGTATACAACAATAATTATAAACGAGAGGAAATCGAGAAGTATTTACAAACAGATTTTTTTTCTTGAAAAATAATTACAATTTCAAAATATGCATAAGAGAGTGCATTTCCTTCTCAGTCACCTCAACAGTTTTCAATGCTGTCTAATTATAAGTGGTGGGTGTTCTGTCAATATTCACGTTGAAGAAATATAAAATACAATTGTATCTTCACACGAATACGAGCAAAATTTATCTAGAAATGAGCGTTTTGTATGGGTACAATTTTCTGAGTAGAAAGATGTGATAAGTTCAGAAATGGAACGACGAGTATCCGGATGCTCGTCGTTCCTCCTTAAGAGAGAATTAGCAGGTTATCACTTTGAAAGTGACAACGATGTAAAGATGGCAGTTCGACTTTGGCTGCATAAATAACTGGT